TTACATCAATCTATTTCATTTTGTTTGAGAATTTGACAAGGAAATATTTTTTCCCAATTATATAGAACTTACCTAGATATACTGTAATCATAAAGACTTTTATCTTGAAAAGACCATTTTGCAAATCATTAACATTACTTAAACAAGTAGGGAACACAAGGGTAAACAAACATGAGCAATTTCCTCTGATGTATATATCATTCGTGCTCTACTCTCTAAGTTGTAACCACAGCATCAATAGCTGTGTAAATACCTCGTCTAAGATCATTTGAGTTCATGCAAGTTCCAATTGACTTGCTACCCTCAGTAAATATTGGACGGGTTAGGATAATAGCACACGTAGTACCTACATGTATTTCATAGAATATATTCAATTGGATCCGAAAACTTTATTGTGTAGGTCTCGTATATATTTACAAGAAATGAGTAGTCTATAACCTAATTAAGTAGAGAACTTACCATCCCCAGCAGCATCATTGGTGGAACTTGCATCCTGCTTTACGAGGCTCGCACCAGTATTTTTGACTTTTTCCTTCAACTGAATACTCTTTGCCACATTGTATAGTCCTATAGAGTCCCATCTTTCACTTCCAATACATGGTTAACAATTTGACTTAGAAAGTATTGATCATGAAAAACTCTAAGGGTGTGTTTGATTACATTTATTTTCAATGAAAAATATCAGTTTTCCACCCAAATTCCTACTTGGAGTGTTTGATTGCTATTTTTTTCCATGGAAAATATTTTCTAACTTTTGAAAATATGCCTAATTTTCCTTATTTTTAAGGAAAACATTTTCCTTATTTTTAAGGAAAACATTTTCCTTGGGTAGAGGTGATTTTTATTTTCCACAAAAGATGAAAAATATTTTCTTTTCTAAGTAATATTTTTCATGTCAATCAAACACACTCTAATATCAGTATCTTTATACTCATTTATTGTCTTCTAATGTGACATATAGAACAAGTTAAAGGAGAAAAAGAAGACAAAATAAATTAAAAGCTATATGAGACAAGAGTAACAAGTGTAGAGCAAGGGAATAAAAATATAGGCATAAATGAAAGAGAATGAAAATAAACATCTCATGTGCCAAAGGTAACACAAAAAATTTAATCAATGGATGAATAATAGAAGAAAATACGTACCTTGCTTGGCGACAAGGTCATCTAGTAAACAATCATGTCATTATATTTAAAAATCATGGGTAGTGTACGAAAGGATATAAAAGATGGAAGTTAAATATATGTTAGACCTTGTTCAAATGCTCATATTGTCAGTTTCCAAGGCCAAATATTCCATACTGAAGATTCTTAAACCAGTCTCCTCCGTAAACCACTTATAGAACTTTGTTGCATTCTTGGTAGGCTCACCATTACCATATCTACAACCAGCAAACAACCATCAAAACTTAAATTGCATACTAACTCATTTACCCTCTGATTTTTTGGCAAATGCAAATATGCATTTATTGTTGAAACTTAAAATCATATGCACACAAATAACTAATTATTATACATTTGGCATGTGCATATACACAATTTTGGGTTTTTATTTAATTTAGGTACAACTAGAAGTAGAATTGATGAATTTATGTGGCAAAAAAGAAGAATGCCAAATTTTCCTTCCCTATGATGGTTAAAAAAATATCAATTGAAAATGAAAATCACAAATTTACTCAATGAACAAGCAAAGCATAAGTAGAATATCCCCTCTAAAGTGGAAAATGAACATGAAAATTCACTATGTTGATCACTTTAGACTTAGGCTTTTTATATCTAGCTTTAGCTCCCTAACTGCAAAAAAAAAAAAAAAAAAAAAATGAATTATGAAGATTTGAGAAGGAATATTTGTTACTTTTGAAAGTCTATTTGCGTTTTCTGATTCTTTTTCATACCACAACATATATGTAAAAATCCCAAAGGATGTCACGTGACATACAATAACATTTTTTTTTTAAACAAAAACCGAATAGATAAAAAAGGGGAAAAAATAAAATAGTACTTGGGATGGCAGCCTCAGTAAAATCTGGTCGCAATGATTCTTCGCTCAATCTTCCTGCTGCTCTTTGTCAAATTCTTTCTGATTGCAAACATATGCAATCGCTCTTATACAAGAAATTAAAAAATTAATGCAAAAAAGAGAGAAAAATAAAGATATTGTACAGATCAATAGAGAAAAATTATGAGAGAAATCAATGTACCGTTCATCGGTCTAGTGATGCAATGCAAGAATCCATTTTATCCTCTACTGGAATTAAGAGATGGAGCAAGAGAGATTTATTGTTCGAATAATTCAACGATCGACCTCATGTCCTCTCGAAAAGAAAGCAATCAGGCAAGAGGGTTTGACATATATTTACAGGATGCTATGGACTATCAAGATTTTGAAGAGTTGGAAGCAGTTGAAGGAGGTGGTTTTTACGGTAGAGGGGGTAGCGGAAGAAGTGGAGATGCTGCAGCAGATTTCTAGGGCTTGTGCCAAGGAAGAGTGTAATGCAAATAAATAAGGACTGGGGATACTTGGCTTCATGTACAGTGAGAAAAAAGAAAAGAAAATGTATTAGGGAAGCTACCCAAATGTCCATATTGCCCTTTTTTGGTATGGTCAAGAGGAGGCGATTCACTGTTGTATTTAAGGATAAAATGGGAAAGTAAAAAAGCTTCCTAAATGAACAGTTGATGGAGGATTCTCTCTTTTAAGAGAGTAGAAAAAATATGAATTTATTTTATATTTAAAAGTCATTTATTGTTCGTTATTTTCGACTAAATGATGATGGTGATTGTGTATAGAAACGGAGAAGTAAAGAGACATGGTTGATAGCGTGAAAAAATGGAGAAATATATTGTGTGTCAGATTCAAACCATGCATGAGAAGACTCTTGATTCCAGGGTTTTATTATTATAAAAAAAGGACCAAACTAGTTTTCAAACTAGTTCAATGAGAAAATCAGTGTGACAAAAATGAATAATAAACATCACATTCTCTCTGTTAAGGTAAAGAGGGAGAGAAACTGTTTTTAACAAAATGATGTAGATTATAATGAGAAAATTGTCGCAAAAAAATAATAAACATTAATAAAATATTTGATTTCTATAAGAAAAAAGATGAACTATACGCATTTTTTAACATACGCATTTGATGTACATTTAACTATTTTTGCTCTTTATTTAAATCATTCGATATGTCTATAATATAATTCTCGAAATGAACTTCTAGATAATATAGAAGATTTCTGGATTCGACTACCGTACAATCGTCAATGAATTTTTAAAGTTAGCTTGTTATCGAAATTCTTGAAATAGTAGTTTCGAAATGCATATTTTGATGCCCCGTAGTATTTGCTACGATTAGCCGTTTCACGCACTGTCAACGACGTGCAGTACTATGCTGTGAGTACTTCAAAATGATATTAAGAACGTAATATTTTTATTTCGTTTGATATCCCATAATGAGCCCGAAAATGGGAAAAAAAAAAGAAGACAACATTTTGCTCAAATGTTCCGTGCATGGTGCACGGAGCTTTAAATATATATATTTTTTTTCAAAATTTTTTTAATAACTTGAAGCAAATTTTGTACTCATATGTAACCCTAGAAATATACTCAAAACTTAAAATTAATATTTTTTCACTTATAAGTAGTTTTTACAATTATAAGTTTTTTTACTCTTAAATAACTTCAAGCAAATTTTTTTTACCTATAAGTAACTTTTTATATTTAAAAAAAATATTTTATCTTATTATTAGTCTAGTGATTTTTTTAGTTATAAGCAACTTTTTTATATTTTAGATAAATAACTTTAAGCAATTTTTTTACCCATATGTAACTTTTTACATGTTAGAAATAATTTTTCTCTTATTATTAGTCGAAGTGATTTTTTGAGTTATAAGTAACTTTTTATATTTCACACAGAAATAAAGAATATTTAGATATATTTAATTTTTTTAAAACTAAATATTAATAAAAGAATTTACTATACATTAAAAAATATATATATAGTAGACTCTCTCCGTGAACGTAGGAAAATTGCTCCGTGCACGGTCGAAAATTTCTCCGTGCACGGAGCATTTTTGATTTCTGAAACAAATTTTTTCTTTTTTGTTTTTTTAAGTTATTATTATTATTATTATTTTTAAGTTATGTTTTTATTTTCATTTTCAGACTCATTACGGGATATCAAATGAAGTCGAAATATTACATTTTTAATATCATTTTGAAGTACTCACGGTATAGTATTGCACGTCGTTAAACGATCAATCGTAGCAAATATTACGGGGCATCTTTTCAAACTATTATTTCAAAAATTTCGATAACAAGCTAACTTTAAAAATTCATCGATGATTGTACGATAGTCGAATCCATAAATCTTCTATGTTCTCTCGAAACTCATTTCGAGAACTATATAATAAATACATCGAATGATCTAAATAAATGTAAAAAATAGTTAAACGTACACCAAACGTATGTGTAAAAAATACGTATAACTCGTCTTTTTTCTTAAAAAAATAATTATTTTATTAACGTTTATTATTTTTTCGCGACAATTTTCTCAATATAATTTACATCATTTTGTTAAAAAAATAATGTGGTAAGACATAAATATTTTTTTTGGACGTAAAAATTTCTAATAAAATTATTATCATTCTTACATAAAAGTGATTTGTTGAAAATAAAATAGTGATTAAAAAAATTATCAACAAATAAAAAGATTACCAATAAAAAAATTCAAACAAACGAAAATAAAGAGTGGTTGAGTACAAAGTGAAGACATGATAGTTGGTGGGAGGTATGAAAAGTTACGTATTGCAATAAATTTAGATTGTAACCTTTATACTATTAAAAATAGCTCACACCCACTATAAAAAATATTGCAACAGTCTGGAATAAATTACTATTATGAAACCAGTTCCAAACTAATTCAATGTGAAAAGAGTGAGACAAAAATGAACAATAAACCCTCTTTCTCTATTTCGTGGTGCAGATATATAAAGCCAAATTTAGGCTTAAGCTGCGAAATATTTCTGTCGGCCTGCACTATGAACAATGTTCGCAGCCTTCCTCAGCCGCCTCTCCCGCCAGAAACCACCGCCCTCAATCACCCTTAACTCCAATCGCCACCCGCTCTCCACCACCACCTCCTCCTCCTACTCCTACTCGTCCCTCTACACTAAATACTCTTTCGTGCCACCAGCCTCTCTCAACCCCCACAACTCCATTAAGCCCCAGACCAGAACCTCACTCCAACATCAACCCAACCATAAAAAACCCTCCAAACCCCCGTACCGCCCACCATCATCCCTCGACAGGTCTGGTCAAGAGCCAGTCCATTCCAACCTTCCTTTTGATTTCCGGTTCAGTTACACCGAGAGCAGTCCAAATGTCAGACCCATTGGCCTTCGCGAGCCCAAGTACTCCCCATTCGGGCCGGGCCGCCTGGACAGGTCCTGGACAGGTGTTTGTGCCCCGGTGACCGACCTGAAGGAGTGGTCCTCGGAAAAGGAGGAAGATTTGGAGGAGAAGAGGAAAATATTGAGAGAGAGAGTTCAGGGAGAGCCGTTGACGAATGCTGAGAGGAAAGCTCTCGTCGAGAGGTATCAAAGGCACCGGACGAAGAAGCAAATTAATTTAGGTATTTTAATCTTTTAACTTTTTTCCTCGCTGCTTCATTCTGTGAATTGAACATTGATTTCAGGGTGAATTGATTTTTTTGTACTCTTTTCTACAGTATAGAGCAAATTCTTAAATGATTATTCATCAATTACTACATGAATAAGTAGAAAAGAAAGAAATGAATGGATGGATAAGAGAATTTGAATAAAAAAAACTGTAAACTCTGCAAGATATGTGCAAATTATATTGACACTTGGAATATTAGCACTGTAAGTTGAGCCTGCGCGAGTTTTGGTTTGGGGCAGATTTGACTTCAACCCGAAACCAAATAAGTCAATTTGGGTGAATTTCAACTCAAACCAACCCATTCTAGCTCTTAAACCGAACCAAACTTTCTAAACCAAACCAAAGTTTGGTTCAATTAGTCGGTTTCGCGGCACTGTGCAGCGTCAACCCCCACATATGGTCTTACGACTTTGCGGAGACCTGTGTTTTTGGTAAACAGTCGTCCAAGCCTGATCGCCCAGGGAATAATGAAGCTTTATAGGGTTTTTTTGTCTAGGTGCAAGTAGTCCGCATGCTAGGAAATTAAGAACATAAATCCAGTAGCCCAAACAAGATGTCCAAATAAGAACATCCATGCCTAGACCGATAACCTATTCAGGACTTGAACCAGAGATCTCGCCCGTGAAGTAAATCATCGCACCTATGGTCCAGCCAATTGGAACACGATAACTGGTACACTAGAGGTGCATCCTTCCTGGTCTCGGTTTCGACTTTTAGTCGACATTGATTTTTAAAAAAAAAATAAAAATTGTCCGAGTTCTAAGCCTACTTAGATTACAAGAACTAAAATAACCAAATAATTTTATATTATAAGAACCATTGACTAACAAATAAAATTAGGTTAATGGAGACGGATCAACGGAAAACTTAAAAAATTTCTTTTTCTTTTTATGTATTATGTAGTCTTACTGCTATTATTTACCAGCAACATCAGGGAATCGAGATATAGTTATGAGAATAGGGCTTATCTTTTGATTTTGATTTTTCTTATATTAAAACAAAGGTAAATATGTAAGTGGGTTGTGTTGGTTTGGTTAACCAATTGTTTGAGACCGTTGGTTCAGTTAACCAACGGTTTGAGATTTCAAATCATGATTGAGTCGACACACCATGATTTTGTTTAAAAGAAAAACAAACAAACCAATTACTTAGGTCAAATGGGTCAGTTCTGTTTGATTGATTTGGTCGATTTTTTTGCTCAGGCCTAGTTGTAGAAAGCTACATACTTTCCACGAAATTGTCATGACTAGATTGACATGAAAGAAAAAAAAATGAGAGGGAAAAGGAGCACAATCGCACTGGATTGTAGTTTTCTTCAAGTTGTTATGGGGATGAGGGGTCTAGGAATGTGGAAGTATTTGATGTTGAATGCGGGAAAGCATGGATTAATATCCTTGCCAAAATTAAGCCCCGTTTGGCCCCCATTAAATTTCATTTTATTTTTCTCTCTCCTATTATCAACCACACAATCTTTCATAAAATAATACTGCACGTAATCCGAAAACTTTTCATTCTTTTTCAACCACTCATTTTAAATAAAAAAAAAAAAACCCACTATTCCACCCTTTATCATTTCAAAAAATGGGGGCCAAACAGAGGCTAACTTCTGATCGAAATGTAATGGTTGATCCTTTTGCAGTTCCTTTTTTTCATATATTGCATATTTTCATGATAAATATCAGAGATCATGAAATGATGAAACATGCCGAGGAGTGTCTAGGAGCAAAAGAAAAGCCTCTTGAGCAATTAGGGTCAGTTGTAGAAGTTTGTCACTGGCTGTGCTTGTTACAATTTTTTTTGCCCATAGGCAGCCAACAGAACAAGATATTCGATTTATGTGGTCATGAGATTGAAGTAAAGAACATATGGTTTAGTTTTTGGTATCTTTCTAAGTAATTAAGTTTAAACTGGTACTCAGGTACCACATGGGCTCCAGTTAATGTATTGTAATGAAAAATGGGTAATTAATTGATCTGGTATATTTTTGAAAAAACATTCTTTTATCGCACGAATAAACGAGTTAATTGTTCCAATGGTCACTGAATTTAGATCCATGTCTTTGATTGGCCACTGAACTTTGAAAAATATCGAGTTTTGGTTATTGAACTTAGGTTTATGTCTTTGATTGGTTACTGAAGTTTAAAATGTCAAATTTTGGTTACTGAATTTAGGTCCATGTTTTAGATTGCTCACTAAAGTTCAAAAATGTCGAGTTTTGGCCATTGAACTTTGGAATATGCCGTACGTTTCTCACTGATATAACTGTTGAACTTTGAAAAATATCGAGTTTACAGTGAATAATGTACAACATTTTTCAAAATTCAGTGTTTTAAAGTTCAGTGGCCAATCAAAGACATAGACCTAAGTTCAGTGATCATTGGAATAGTTAACTCTGGATAAACTACATATGCATAAGCAAGATCACATTTGGGGTACCTGGCTTTGTCTTTAACTTTGTACATGTACATTTTTTTAGGGAGGAATGGTTTAACACACAACATGTTGAATGATATTCATAATCACTGGCAACATGATGAGGCGGTCAGGATAAAGTGCATGGGTGTGCCTACTCTTGATATGAAAAACGTGTGCATGCAATTGGAGGTATTTCCTTTTCTTCGTGTCTATTGGAGCATCCTCGCTGTATCCCTTTTTCTTTTTTATCATTTATTGTGATATATTCCAATCTTAAGGTCCGAAATTTGTTTTTCTTCTGAGCGGTATAATTTTACTCATAAAATTTTTTATTTTTCTCGTGACTGTTGTATAAATTACATTCAGGAGTATGTGTATCCGTGGTTCATGATTTTTCTTTTTTATTTTGTTTATTAAGGTATTTTGCATATCTTCCAGGATAAAACATTTGGCAAGATCATTTATAGACATGGCGGTCAACTTGTATTGTACAGAGGTAGGAATTATCATCCTAAGAAAAGACCTGTGATTCCATTAATGCTATGGAAGCCTCAGGAGCCAGTATATCCAAGGCTTATAAAAACAACTATCGATGGCCTAAACATTGAGGAAACTAAAAAAATGAGGAAAAGAGGATTATCTGTCCCCGCCTTAACAAAGCTTGGTAAAATTTCTTCCATTCTTGATTTTGTTACTATATCTGATGTACTTCTACTAATAGTTGAATAATAATTGCAGCCAAAAATGGTTATTATGGTAGTCTCGTGCCTATGGTCCGGGATGCTTTTCTCACTGAAGAGTTTGTACGGATAGATTGTAAAGGCCTTCAGAAGAGTGACTACAAGAAAATTGGCTGCAAACTGAGGGTAATACTTAGTAAAGCATATTATTTTATTTGATATTGCATATGATTTCACCTCTATTAGCATGAAAAGACTTTTGCTTGCTTTTATACTTAATTTTTTCGTGTTGATCCATTATGTAAACCTGACACTTCTTATATATATATATATATATATATATATATATATATATATATATTTCTTCCTCTCACTCATTGATTCTTAGAATAACAATCTTGTAAGATAGAATTTTCTTTTTAATTACTGTGATGATAAGAGCTATACATTGAATTCATAAAACAAATATAATTTTATTATTAAAATATCAAAAGCTACGCACCTTACTTTAGGAGTTCTTACATCCACTTCTTAGCCTGAGCAAATGAATCGTGATTCATAAAACAAAAAAAACAAAAAAATTAAATCATCTAAACCATATAAACAAAAGTCTAGCATCAACTTCTTATCCATGCAAGTGAATCTTGATTCACCTTCAAACTGGCATCATAGTAATTAAAACACATTATACCAACCAACGAATCAAGATTAGAGTAGCAGATAGCAACAACAAAAAACAAGTACAAAGGCTGGAAGAAAAACAGTTCTCTTTGCTGTCAATAAATACTATGAAGAATATCAGAATGAACAAGAAATGTACTATGAAAACCTATAGCATCTACAGATAACATGTCAAAGTGAAAAATACCATAGTAACAAATATTTAATGAAATCTGTTCACTTTAAATTAGGAGGGGGAGGAATCTGCTTACTTTCATATTCTTATGATGCATATTATCGTGCTGATATGAAAACAAATTTCATTTTTTATATATCAGCCAACGGATGATATTTAAATATAGACCAGTGTACCCAGTAATTATATCAATCTATTTCATTTTGTTTGAGAATTTGACAAGGAAATATTTTTTCCCAATTAGATAGAACTTACCTAGATATACTGTAATCATAAAGACCTTTATCTTGAAAAGACCATTTTGCAAATCATTAACATTACTTAAGCAAGTAGGGAACACAAGGGTAAACAAACATGAGAAATTTCCTCTGATGTATATATCATTCGTGCTCTACTCTTTAAGTTGTAACCACAGCATCAATAGCTGTGTAAATACCTCGTCTAAGATCCTTTGAGTTCATGCAAGTTCCAATTGACTTGCTACCCTCAGTAAATATTGGATGAGTTAGGACAATAGCACATGTAGTACCTATATGTATTTCATAGAATATATTCAATTGGATCCAAAAACTTTATTGTGTAGGTCTCGTATATATTTACAAGAAATGAGTAGTCTATAACCTAATTAAGTAGAGAACTTACCATCCCCAGCAGCATCATTGGTGGAACTTGCATCCTGCTTTACGAGGCTCGCACCAGTATTTTTGACTTTTTCCTTCAACTGAATACTCTTTGCCACATTGTATAGTCCTATAGAGTCCCATCTTTCACTTCCAATACATGGTTAACAATTTGACTTAGAAAGCATTGATCATGAAAAACCCTAATATCAGTATCTTTGTACTCATTTATTGTCTTCTAATGTGACATATAGAACAAGTTAAAGGAGAAAAAGAAGACAAAATAAATTAAAAGCTATATGAGACAAGAGTAACAAGTGTAGAGCAAGGGAATAAAAATATAGGCATAACTGAAAGAGAATGAAAATAAACATCTCATGTGCCAAAGGTAACAACAATCATGTCATTATATTTAAAAATCATGGGTAGTGTACGAAAGGATATAAAAGATGGGAGTTAAATATATGTTAGACCTTGTTCAAATGCTCATATTGTTAGTTTCCAAGGCCAAATATTCCATACTGAAGATTCTTAAACCAGTCTCCTCTGTAAACCACTTATAGAACTTTGTTGCATTCTCGGTAGGCTCACCATTACCATATCTACAACCAACAAACAACCATCAAAACTTAAATTGCATACTAACTCATTTACCCTCTGATTTTTTGGCAAATACAAATATGCATTTATTGTTGAAACTTAAAATCATATGCACACAAATAACTAATTATTATACATTTGGCATGTACATATACACAATTTTGGGTTTTTATTTAATTCAGGTACAGCTAGAAGTAGAATTGATGAATTTATGTGGCAAGAAAGAAGAATGCCAAATTTTCCTTCCCTATGATGGTTAAAAAAATATCAATTGAAAATTAAAATCACAAATTTACTCAATGAACAAGCAAAGCATAAGTAGAATATTCCCTCTAAAATGGAAAATGAACATGAAAATTCACTATATTGCTCACTTTAATTAGGCTTTTTATATCTAGCTTTAGCTCCCTAATTGCAAAAATAAAAAATAAAAAATAAAAAATTGAATTATGAAGATTTGAGAAGGAATATTTGTTACTTTGGAAAGTCTATTTGCGTTTTCTGATTTTCTTTCATACCACAACATATATGTAAAAATTCCAAAGGACGTCACGTGACATAAAATAACATATTTTTTTAAAACAAAAACCGAATAGATAAAAAAGGGGAAAAAATAAAATAGTACTTGGGATGGCAGCCTCGGTAAAATCTAGTCGCAATGATTCTTCGCTCAATCTTCCTGCTGCTCTCTGTTGTCAAATTCTTTCTGACTGCAAACATATGCAATCGCTCTTATACAAGAAATTAAAAAATTAATGCAAAAAAGAGAGAAAAATAAAGATATTGTACAGATCAATAGAGAAAAATTATGAGAGAAATCAACGTACTGTTCATCGGTCTAGTGATGCAATGCAAGAATCCATTTTATCCTCTACTGGAATTAAGAGATGGAGCAAGAGAGATTTATTGTTCGAATAATTCAACAATTGACCTCATGTCCTCTCGAAAAGAAAGCAATCGGGCAAGAGGGTTTGACATATATTTACAGGATGTTATGGACTATCGAGATATTGAAGAGTTGGAAGCAGCTGAAGGAGGTGGTTTTGACGGTCGAGGGGGTAGCGGAAGAAGTGGAGATGTTGCAGCAGATTTCTAGGGCTTGTGCCAAAGAAGAATGTAATACAAATGAATAAGGAATGGGGATACTTAGCTTCATGTACAGTGAGAAAAAAGAAAAGAAAATGTATTAGGGAAGCTACCCAAATGTCCATATTGCCCTTTTTTGGTATGGTCAAGAGGAGGCGATTCACCGTTGTATTTAAGGATAAAATGGGAAAGTAAAAAAGCTTCCTAAATGAATAGTTGATGGAGGATTCTCTCTTTTAAGAGAGTAGAAAAAATATGAATTTATTTTATATTTAAAAGTCATTTATTGTTCGTTATTTTCGACTAAATGATGATGGGTGATTGTGTATAGAAACGGAGAAGTAAAGAGACATGGTTGATAGCGTGAAAAAATGGAGAAATAGATTGTGTGTCAGATTCAAACCATGCATGAGAAGACTCTAGATTCCAGGGTTTTATTATTATAAAAAAAGGACCAAACTAGTTTTCAAACTAGTTCAATGTGAAAATCAGTGTGATGAAAATGAACAATAAACATCACATTCTCTCTGTTAAGGTAAAGAGGGAGAGAAATTGTTTTTAACAAAATGATGTAGATTATAATGAGAAAATTGTCGCAAAAAATAATAAACATTAATAAAATATTTGATTTCTATAAGAAAAAAGACGAACTATACGCATTTTTTAACATACGCGTTTGATGTACGTTTAACTATTTTTACTCTTTATTTAAATCATTCGATATGTCTATAATATAGTTCTCGAGATGAACTTCTAGATAATATAGAAGATTTCTGGATTCGACTACCGTACAATCATCAATGAATTTTTAAAATTAGCTTGTTATCGAAATTCTTGAAATAATAGTTTCGAAATGCATATTTTGACGCCCCGTAGTATTTGCTACGATTGGCCGTTTCACGCACTGTCAACGACGTGCAGTACTATGCTGTGAGTACTTCAAAATGATATTAAGAACGTAATACTTCTACTTCGTTTGATATCCCATAATGAGCCCGAAAATTAAAAAAAAAAAAAAAAGATAGCATTTTGCTCAAATGTTCCGTGCATGGTGCACGGAGCTTTATATATATATATATTTTCAATTTTTTTTTTAAATAACTTGAAGCAAATTTTGTACTCATATGTAACCCTAGAAATATACTCAAAATTTAAAATTAATATTTTTTTTACTTATAAGTAGTTTTTACAATTTTAAGTTTTTTTACTCTTAAATAACTTCAAGCAAATTTTTTTTACCTATAAGTAACTTTTTATATTTAAAATTTTTTTTTTATCTTATTATTAGTCTAGTGATTTTTTTAGTTATAAGTAACTTTTTATATTTTAGATAAATAACTTTAAGCAATTTTTTTACCCATATGTAACTTTTTACATTTTAGAAATAATTTTTCTATATTATTAGTCGAAGTGATTTTTTGAGTTATAAGTAACTTTTTATATTTCACATAGAAATAAAGAATATTTAGATATATTTAATTTTTTTAAAACTAAATATTAATAAAAGAATTTAATATACATAAAAAAATACAGTAGAGTCTCTCCGTGAACGGAGGAAAATTGCTCCGTGCACGGTCGAAAATTTCTCTGTGCACGGAGCATTTTTGATTTCTGAAAGAAATTTTTTCTTTTTTGTTTTTTTTAAGTTATTATTATTATTATTATTTTTAAGTTATGTTTTTATTTTCATTTTCAGGCTCATTACGGTATATCAAATGAAGTCGAAATATTACATTTTTAATATCATTTTGAAATACTCACGATATAGTATTGCACGTCATTAAACGATCAATCGTAGCAGATATTACGGGGCATCAAAACAGTCATTTCCAAACTATTATTTCGAAAATTTCGATAACAAGCTAACTTTAAAAATTCATCGATGATTGTACGATAGTCGAATCCATAAATCTTCTATGTTCTCTTGAAACTCATTTCGAGAACTATATCATAAACACATCGAATGATCTAAATAAATATAAAAAATAGTTAAACGTACACCAAACGTGTGTGTAAAAAATACGTATAACTCGTCTTTTTTCTTAAAAAAAATAATTATTTTATTAACGTTT